AGATAGAAATTATAATTAAAAGGAAAGCAGAACATAAAGATTTGTAATACAGTACTCTCAGCCTGGCCATGTAAAGAAAGAAAGAAAAAAGCACGTTTGGGAGAGAACATGAAGGCAGCTGCCAAGAGACTGTGTGATAAGGCGACTAATATGGTACTGTCATCAAGACATCAGGAGAACGACTCCCAGGGCATTTCAGAGAACTTTGAGGCTGGCCCTCGCATCACAGGCCCAAGAGAAATCATTAAGGGCAAGGTTTCTAGAGAGGAACCCAAGGCACCAACCCACAGGATCTTGCTGTCTTGTGCCACTCAAGTGCCTGCCATGGAAATTGTGGCAGAGATGTCCTTACCACCCAACCATCTCTCTTGTGGGCTTGGATGTTGCTTGGAGTCTGCTCAGGAAAGAACAAACTGTAAATTTTGGTGATACCGTCGTGGCAAATATTCTGCTGAGGAACAGAGTAGATGCGCTGTGCATCTGTCACGGAAGCCTCCACCGAGGTTTCAAAAGATGTCAAGAACAACTTGGGATTGGGCAGAAATCTACTGCAGGGTTGGAGCCACCAAGAAAGTTCCAACTAGGGCTGTGTCTAGTGAAACTGTGAGAGTGAGGCACTCCAAGGCCCCAGAACAGTAGGGCAACCAGTGCAGCAACAGCTGGAAATGCTGCAGGCCTAAGACTGCACCCACTGAGAGCTGCTGCCTACAGTGAGTCTAGCAAAGCTCCTGAGATGGGGCTGCTTCTAGCGTGCACAGAAGGAAGGGCATGAAGTCAAGAAAGGTTATTCTGGAAATTTAAGATCTGAAGCTGCTTGCCCTGCTGAGGTTTGGATCTCAGAGGCACCCTTAACAAAGGTACTAACCCCATTTGAAAGAGCTTTACCCTTGTCTGTTACATCATCTCTCCCAAGCACCACCCCCAATAGCATCACCTCGGAGGTTAGGATCTCCATGTATGAATTCAGCAACACCGATATTCAGACCGTAATTTAGATTTAGTCATTCTGCCATGAATCTTCGTGTCCATTTCTGAATTTATTGGATGTGTAGGGTCAGGATTTAGAGGGAAGGGAACTAAAGCTCAAAGCTTCCTAATCTCATAAAATACTTGCATACAATAAGGACTTAATTAACCTGCTGCTTAAGTATGTTATGAGCTGGTGGTCCGACTAGACTCGCTCTTCCTCTTGCTTCTCTTAGGGAAGTCCCTAAACTTGGCCTCTGTCCCAATGAGGCTATATTTTCTTCAGTTATTTACCTTCTTCATCCCATTTTTCTCTGTTATCATAGTTCCTGTCATTCTAATCAATTAAATGTTTAGTAGTTATTTGTATATAGTCTCTGTCCTCCGCTAGATTATAAGGTTCATGAGAGTAGGGATGCTTTAATTCCCAGTCTTCACTACATTTCCAGTCTCTAGCACAGTGCCTGGTATCTTAACAAATCTTTACTAAATGAACCTTGACTAATAAAGGTAAGAATAGTCTAATCAATTTTAATCACATTATCTATCATCTATCTATCCATACACACTTGGAAAGAATAACTCATCAATAGCTTTAGGAGTGTGTACTGACACAATCACTTTGGAAATCTGGTAACATCTATACAGGTTGGATATTCTTCACAACCTAGCAATCATACATTTGAAATGTGTACAGCTACTCACCCCAAGGTATACTATACTGTTTGTAGTAGTCTTAGTCATAACAATCTCAAACTGGAAATTATCCACATGTCACTAAGAGCAGTGGCTAGGCAAAGAGTGATATATTCATATAATGAAGTACTCTTTAGCCAGGGGATTAAACAAATGGCAATATGCAGCTATAGCGATAAATACTATAAACATTTCCTCTGGAGAGTTAAATGGTAAAAAAAAGCACGTAATGGATCACAGAGAAATATGAAAGCCGTCTTGAGGCGGTAGGATGAGTCCAGAGCTATAAGATTCCACAGGACTTCATCTGTTCAGGAGGCAGAAGTTCGGTCGGCTCTGAAAGCAGAGAACTGGCCAATCACAGGATACACCTAGCAGTGGCCAGAAACCCCATGGATGTGCTACATGGGCATAATCAGAGGAGCGGAGGAGTCTCACTGCTGAATGTGAAGCTATTGTATCCACAGCATGTTTCTAGGCTTCAGAATCTTGAGACATTGTTGTCAACAAGACTGAGCCACTCCAAACTGAGTATGTGCGTTCACTCTGTTAGGAAATTGTACATGTTACTCTAAACTCCTCCATTTTATATCTGACTTCCGGGTTCTTCCTAATTTAAGTTTCGTTTTCCCAATTTAAGTTTCGTTTCCCCCCTCCCAGTTGAATTCTTCCCAGAAATGACGCCAACATCTGATAAGGGACTTCTGCAGGACTAAGACCTTATAAGGCAATGTGGCCTGCAATAGGTTAAAAAACAGCTAATTCCCCTAAAATTGCAAAACTCCCACCCAAGACCCTATAAATGAGCCAACACTCCTTCCCTTGGTACCCGCCTCCTTTTCTTCGCCTCCCGGCCTTTGTACCTCGCCTGACTCCCTTCAATAAAGATCTCCTGCCGGACCTCTCGGTGCGTGAGTGACCTGATTGGGAGGGGGCGCCCAAAGGGGGCTCGAGACCCCTTTCACACTCATTATTTCTTAAACATATATTGACACTGAAGAGTTCAAAATATTCCACTCTGGCATATTGATTACTTTGAGCTACAGGAAGTTGAAAAGCTGCTAACACAGAAAATGTTCTTCAACACCCCCCCCCACAACATCCCAAAATAAATGAAGCTCCTTGAGAGAAGTTTATATTTGTGAAGGATATTTTCACTAACAATGTATCAGTGTTGAGAAGAGAGCTACTCTAAGACAGCTTGTATCACCTGACTTTCAGTTGCACAACCAGACAACTTTTATTCACGATACATTTCCTCCCCTGAACCTCCCACAGTTTGTTGGCCCTTCCCTCCAGAAGTCTCCGACCCCTATATCTTCCCACAGCTCTGGATAGTCTATATGCTGTGCTCTTTTGACCATTTCTGTGAGATTTATATTGTTGTGGGTCTCCCATACACAAGTAATTAAACTTGTTAATCTCCTGTTATTCTGTTTTATGTCAAATTAGTTTAAAGATGAGCCAGCAAATGTAGAAGAGTAGAGGGAAGGAATGTTTCCTTCCCTGGGCCAGTTTTGTCTTGCAAAGTCAGTAATCTGATAAGGAAGGCAGACACAGATGTTAGCAGTAGGGAGCATAAGCGCTGGAGTTAAACACAGATCCTATGGGGCGTTCTGTAAATGGTATCTAATCTATGAGCTTGGATTTAGGGAAAGCCTCCTGGAGGAGTGATATTGAGATACCGACAGTCGTAGTATTTGAAATTTTAATGTACTGGGCTAGGTCTTTGAGATTAGCAAATATGCTAGCTTTGTAGCTGAGGCAAGATTGCATGTTGGTGGCCAGCCTGGGAGACAGACCCTGTTTCAAAAAAATAAAAAGGTCTGGGGATGTAACTTAATTCAAAGGTTCTGAGGTCAACTCTCAACACCTCCCACACACTTTAAAGTCACTTTGTAAAATTTCTTGGCTTCTGGTCATATAGCAGATCTTGGTTATGACTATTTCCCTGGATGAAACCAGAGTCAGGGAAAGGAGATAAAACAAAAGCTATTGGTCTCTTATGATTCTTTAATGACATGTTTCTGATATGTCTTATTTCTGTTCATGGAGCTATTGTTTGGCTTACTTGAAACTAATGTATCAAGTTCCTTACTTTGTGCCCAAGTCGCGAAATCCCCAAGAAGACCACCAGGAAATTCTTCTGATGTAAATACCAGGAGTTTATTGCAAGCTCGAGCCTGGATCCCCAGTGTAGTCGCAGCGACTTCGAATTGAAGTCCCGATCCACTAATCTAGCCTATTTTTATAGGGTTTGAGTGGCTTGAAATTTTCTCTATTCTATTGGCTTCTTTTCTAACATTCTAAATCTATTGGATGTTGCTGGGGCACTTGCAAAAGCGGGAAAATTACTACATCAGGGAGGGGGCTGATTCAAAGAGAGGTCACTGTGCCCAGGAATGCGGTGTGCTCTTCTTATCTATATAGAGGCTCCTGTTCTTCTCTGAGGTTGGAATTGCTTTCCTCCCATCTGCCTGACTTTGTTCTTATCACAACTAAGTAAACTAAGCAAACCGAGCAAATTTTTACTGCCTGAGTTCATCGGGGGTCGGTTCTGGCACTCTGTTTTATGGTTTCCCAACTTAAAATGGAGTTAGTTAAGCTAAGTGGGGAGGGTTTTGAGACTAAATATCTAGGGTCCCACACTTATAAATCCTAAAAATTGGTTCACTTATTAGTTACCCTTATTACATTCTCAGCAATTTTATGTCTTTGTTCACCAAAAATATTCAAAGGATATTTATTCCAATTTACTAAGATAATTCAGCATTTTCTTAGAACCTCTGAATGTCTCACTTTATTAGCAGAGGGACACAGAAACAAAAATTGTCTGCCTAAAATGGCTGAGATTCCTGTCAAATGGAAGATGTGACCAAACATAGGTAACTTATAATATGTCAATGGTAGTTTAAAGAACTGTAGTGAGCCCACTGCTCCCATCAAAGTCTCTAAATGAGCATACAATGTAAGAAAGTCGATCTATTTGTTAAGTAACTACAACCTAAAGGCAATTACCTGTGTCTCAAATACCCACTTCTAATAAATGCTGCTGAGGTAGTAGTTTCTCTTTCCATTCTGTTGGTTTGCTATTAGAGTCTGAAAAACTAGGAGCAGGCAGATTAAAGTAGAAAGGACATACAGTATACTTTGGAGTATCATTTTCAAAAGCCCAACACATCTACTTTCCCAGATAAGCATTCCCTTTGGATCCTGCAAGGAGTGACGGGCACAACAATACATTTACAAGAGGATAAGAGACCTGAGAAGGAATCCTGGCAGAAGTTATTTCTGAATTTGGCTTAAGGGATAAAGACTTGGCAGCAGGACTAGGGGGAGGTTGTCATCCAGAGAGACAGAGAGAAATCAGAACACAGATGCTATTATGTGCAATGCTAAAATGTTTGGACTTCATCTGTACACAGGAAGGAAACATCTAGTGGTTATAATTAGCAATCATTTAAAGAAGAGCATTTCGGTGGTAGCAGAGATGATACTGGCAGGAAGGCAGTGGAGGAAGGAGCAGCAGTCAAGCCAAGCAAGTGGAATGTACATTCATTGTGCTCCTCGGATGTTCTTTAGTTTTCCAATGCCTTACATGCCTCGAGGTATATCATAGCTTGTCCTGTGATGGAGCATGTGACACAGACTGGTCCACCTTGCAGATTCTTCTCACTATAAAGTTATTTTAGAGTTGTTTGTACCTCAGTGAAAATAGTTGGAGGTGTTGCATCTTTGCAGAAGTCTTAAAAGTTGTCACAAACATTCCCCATTTGGCAGAAGCAAAATTTGAGGTCATCTTACTGGATCTGTTTTCTCAAATCATTGTGGCTGTTTGATGACAGGAAGTAGATCTTGTGTTCTTTTATGATGGGCCATAAAAACAACCACTCGTTTAATAAGATAATGTAGCCAGGGCCTTGGATGCTTCTATGGTTAATGAATGTGTCAGGATTCTTTCCAAATCAGGAACTCTGAACAGGAGGCAAACAGTGATGTTTAAACAATGAAGAATTTTAAATCAGAAATTAATGAGGTGGAGAATTGATGCTTCTAAACGAAAAGAATCTCATAACCACCACCCCCAATCAAACAATTTCTATTCAAAATGACTTTTTCTGATGGAAGGAAATTGGAGTTTCTTCCATACAACTAGTCTATCCAAATTTAAGTGTACCCTACACCCCACCCAACTCCCAACCCCCCCCTCACACATGCACACACACACACACACACACACCCCAATTGGAGGTTTGCAGAAGCCAATTTCCAGAGGAGGAAGATGTATTGTGCTTTCTAGAATTATTGACCACTGTGAAACCCAACCAACCTCAAGCAATTTCTCGTATTTAATGCTCATTTCTCAAGCCTTGGCCCTAAGCACAAAGCAATATTTCCTCTTTATGCAATTTACTTCTTTCAGAACTTTGAGGAATGATGTAAACAAGTCCCTCGGCTTCTGGTTTTTACTAAGCCTGAACATTAAACATTTCATCTTGGACTGGACTAGTCTTAATCAATATGTATACATTGGAGACTTTTGTTTCCTAATTGTCCTTAATTATAGTTCTTTCACACTTTCCAAGAACTCAAATGACAAAGTGAAGAGACAGCACTAGTTTAAAATTAGACTGTGTACAAATTGAATATAAGGAAAAGATAAATCATAAAGCTTCTCATGCATGGGAAAGGAAAGAAGAGGAGAGGAGTGGAGAGGAGATACCTCAGGAATTTATTAACTGTTAAGTACTTGAGTGTTCATTTTCAGGTAGGTCTGTATCCATCAAAATCGTAACTTCTCCCTTCAAAGCAAAAGCATAAACATAAAAAAGATTTGTAGGAATAAAGCATAAATAGTAAATCTGTGAGTTACAAACATCCCAGTTGGGAACTTTCACAGGTACACTGTACCACACACCACATCCTTCCCACCTTTACATTTATCTTTTATTTCCAAACTAATGACAGATAGTTCTCAAAATATCAGGTTTTCTGTCATCAGATTCCATACTCAATTTATTGTATTCAGTAATGTACTGGTTGGTTCCAAAAGTAAAAACTTTTCTGCAACACAGGAGTTACACTGACTACTAAAGTATTTTAATAAGTTAATTACCAACTGTTTGGTAATGGTCATATTTCTCAGAAAAATATTCTTACATATTAAAGTTGGGTATTTCTGGCCAAGGATTTAGCTCAGTGCTTCTATTGCCTGTCTTGTAAGCACAAGGACCCAAGTTCGATCCCCAGTACAAAAAAAATGAAAAATTGAGTATTTCTTCTCAAAGTATCTCCACCAGTGTCTTATCTTCACTCATCACTCACTGTGGCAGATTTATGTCTGACGAGTTACTGTCATCAAATACAAATGGGCACCCATTCACTCAGCATGTCCCTCACATAGACTGTAATGCTTGTGAAGTTCTCAATAGCACCAAAAAGCGGAAAAATGGTCTTCAACCACGTTCATGGCATTCGTTGAAACCCAGTGTGCATGAGAGGTGTCAGTAATGGAAGTCAACTGGTCCCATGAACAGCAGGGAAGTAGAAGTAAGGACTGACAACTGATCATCCTTAGCAGCCATGTTTGAGCCTACTGAAATCTTCAGATAACAGTATACTTATTTTAGTTTTGGGCTGTTCTTAGTACATATTTGAAACACTTCTTTTCTTCCTTTTAATTGTCTCCTAAAGCTCAGTTTGGGAAATATTTTGAGAACCCTAGTGCGCAATACAATGAACAGTAGTCTGGCTAGATTTAATTGATGCTTATTAATTACTGGGTGAATCCTAATGAGATTTACTTGACAATGAAGTAGTTTGTCTTCAAGTTTCAAATATAAGGGTCATTTTTCATGGTGGTACAGAGGAGAGAGCATGGGGGATGTTTTAGAACCCAAGATATAGCCTGCATAGCATGAAATTTCCCTTGGATGCATTTCAGGGGCTGATTCTCAATATTGCAGGGGCAAAACTTTGGTTTTTGTGAGTCCTTCTATTTTATGAGTTGATTCATATTAGCAAGGATATTACTGAGCACTCATTTCTAATGACAGTTGTGAGAGGCTGTCAGGTTGACCAGTAAATGCATGTTGGCAAAGCCATACATCCTTTCCCTATAGGAAGACTATATCAAGTTGGCTTTATCTGAAGGCTGTTTGGTATGCAGTGGCTCAGATTTTTAAAAAAAGGATTATTATATGGTTTGATGAAAACAGCACATTTCTATAATAAATGCACTTGCCATACATCCTTTCCCTATAGGAAGACTATATCAAGTTGGCTTTATCTGAAGGCTGTTTGGTATGCAGTGGCTCAGATTTTTAAAAAAAGGATTATTATATGGTTTGATGAAAACAGCACATTTCTATAATAAATGCACTTTCAGATGGACTGACTCCTGACCTTGCCTATTTGAGCAGTGAATAAACTGCTCCTACTATTGGAATTTTATTTTTCACCCTTACAGAATGTATCTACTTATACAGCACAATACAAGTGCATTGGCTTCAACTTTGTGAGTTCCCACCCTGATTTTCTGTGTGCCAGATAAGATATGGAAGGAGAAACTGGTAAATTTTTTCCCACATTGTAGGTTGTTTCTTTGTTGGTGGGTGCTCTTGCACTGCAAAAACTTTTTAATACAATTAGACACCAGTTATTGATTCTTTGTGCAAGATCTCATGCTGGTGAGGATTTGTTCATAAAGTCATTTATTTTCCAGAAAGTTTAGTGTTTCTGCTTTGATATTTAGATCTTTAATCCACTTGGATTTTAGTTTAGTATATGGTGAAAGATATGAGTCTAGATTGGTCAACCACTGTGGAAATCAATATGGGGATACCTCAAACAACTAGGAGTAGAGGTCCAATTTGATCCAGCCATTGCTCTGCTGTGTATCTTTCCAAAAGACTTAAAAGAATCATACCACAGTGATATATGCACACCCATGTTTATAGCAGCACGGTTTGTAATAGCTAAAACTTGGAAACAACCTAAATGCCCATCAACTGGAGAATGAATAAAGAAGTCATGGTTTTTCTCTAAAATAGAGTACTACTCAGCCATAAGGAATGAGAAATTAGAAAGATTTATAGCTGAATGGAGGCACATTGAGGCGATACTCTTAAGTGAAATAAATAGGACACACCTGAGTAAATACCAAATAGTTTCTCTGGTGTGAAAAACTGAAAGTGTAAATAAGGTTCAAATGGTATAATTGAGAGGGTGAAATTCGAAGAAAATGGCTAATGGGGAAGTGGAATGGGGAGGGGAAAAGAAATAAAGGAAAAGAAGTAATGTGAAAAAATGGAAACAAAGTCTTTGTAAATAGGGAAGGGTGAAGGGGGTGAAGGGCGGGCAGGGGTATGGGGAAAAATAAAAACCAAGACCTGTCATGTAAAGGTACAAGACCTCAGTGATAAATGTAACTGTGAAGTTTGCTTTAAATGTACCAGTAAAATTAACGGGGCGGGGGGAAGATATGGAATCAGACCCTCTATTCATCACAGGGCCTGAAACCCCCTTCTGAGGTGTTGCTTACATCCTGCAATGTTCTTGTACCACACATTCTTGCTACCTTGGCTACAGCTGATTAGGACCAGGAGGAATGGGCCTGCAACTCAAAGGCAGAGATTTCTGCACTGGCCAGATGCCTACAAAGCAGCTTGAAATGAGAGTCTTGTCCAAGAGAACGCTATGCGCCAGTGACTTTGCCAGTCTAGACCTGTTCATGCGGTGCATTCAGAGGAGACACGCAGAGAAGGAGTCTTCTGACAGTGAGGTCGACTGAAGCGAATAGTACTTTACAAGAAAGCAGAGGAAGGAATCTGAGGAACCGAAGGTCATGAGTTCCTTCAATAAAAAAACCAGGTCAAAGGAACACCAAACTGAGTCGACAATACTAGGTAAAGAAGAAGCAGTAGAGCAGAATTCTAGATTTATGCTAACAGCAAAGCCTGTAGGATGGCTATCGTTTGGATCTAGAATGGATCTAGAGTAGAAGGTGATTCCGTCGTGGCAGCAGCACTGTATGTGTGCGTCAGTGGATTCAACCCATTAAGGTGCTGTTAGTAGGCGGGGCCCGGTGGGAAGAGGGTGTGCACCCTGGAAGGCTGTATCTCCTTCAGGCTGCTCCCTTCGCTCTCTGTTCCTTGGCTATAAGGGATGAACAGAGAAGAAGCCTCTCGTCCTTTCAAATTGTCGGTATCGGAGTATTTTGTCCTAACAATGAGGAAAAGGGCAAATTCAGGGACTGAGCGAAGGAAGCACAGTTCTCAGGAGAACCTGCTGCGTCACATCTCAAATGCTTCTCTTCGACCCAGAGTGGCTTCCAGGGTCTATCAACCCTGAGAAAGCTTCGACTGTCTTTTACGTACCTGTGATTCCTTGTAACCACGGTCCATGACTTGATGAAACCTAAGTGAATCGTCGCTTTTAACCTTCTGGAAAGAGTCTAATGAACACTTCTGTGATTAGCACTTGTTCACCTTTACCGAAACGTCACAATCTCCTCTGTAGCACCTGTCGAAGCTTAAACCTGCAGTCCACCGACGCCGCGGGGGACTTCACACGGCAAGCTATCCAAGATCATATGATGTCCACAGTCTCGGGCGGCACCTAGCTGCAGCCCTAGTGGACTAACTCATGGAGAGGCAGATTCCCTCCTAACTGCTCATTTTCTTTACAAACTGAATTTTAAAGTCCAGAATATTTTTGCTCTCATATTAATTATTAGGACAGCAGTCTTATCCTTTAAAGGTAGTGGCAAGACTGCTTTCAATGACTAGAGATCAAAGCTTTAAGGAGTGACTTGTACTTGAAGTAACATAACCTTGCTCTAATTATTAGTCATTTGAAGCCAAATTAAGCAGAGATTGATTATGGCTGCAGTCAGTCTTCCGACCAAAATGTAGCAGGTTGTTTATCCTTAAATTTAGACATCATTGCCTGATTATTCATTCATGCATTTATAGCAACAAAATTGCACTTAAGCATTATCCCACTTTTAATCATATGATTGCTATACGAAGGTACCCGTGCTTTACCCATCTGTCACCCAATGTGATGCCCACATTCCAGAGTCGAAAAAACAATTGGAAATGGTGGACAATGTGAAAGCACTCTCAGATGATAAAATGAGAAGAAGAAGAGTGATTTTAGTTGCTCACATTTTTCATCACAATAGAAATAGAACTAAGGTAGGTTATGACTCTCATCTCTTTATTGCCAGTTTTGCACACTCTTCTTCTCCTTTGTTACATCACCCTTGAAATCTCACCACATGTTGCCTATCTATGTAAATTGGGTTTAGCATGACTTCAGGTTGAAGTCCTAATCTGAGATGCAAGGGCTCCAATGACAATAATTCAGTTAGTGTTGAAAAAGCCAGTGGTATGGAGGAATCAGTCCACAGAGAAGGGCTGATAGTTTTCTGTTAGGTAGATTTGGAGCAAGAGGAAGCTGGACTGCTGTAGCTCAGAGCTGCCGGACTGCCTTTCTGATCACAAGTCCAGAATGAGCTGCCTGTTGCTCTGGCCTCTGGAGGAACTGAAGTTTCTTTCTCTGAGAGTACACAAGCCAGGGCTGTCTCCTCTCCCTTGGATCAGAGGTGATGGCACTGATGTGGAGCTTGGCTTGGGGCTGCATTGGAAGAAAGGGAAAAGGAGTTCATCAGCCCGGTTATTCACCTTAATTCAGCAAAATATAGGGAAGACAGGAGAGGGTTTTAGTGTGATAGTTTATGAAACAAAACACAGTTGTGCATAAACAATAGTGGATTTAAGTTCATTAATTTATAAATGATTCAATGAATTAATGATGCCAATGAACAAGACATATTTGTAGACTTACTAACACAGAAAAACTGCCAGAAGCTTTTAAATGTACATATGTAAGACAAATTTGATGCTACCTTCCTATTATAAACAGTTTTTCCAAGTAAAAATAGCATCTGGCTGGGACGATTTGACTTCCTGAGTGAGGGAATAACACTGGCAATAAGACAGCATTGAAAGACATTCAGAACATATCATTTTTAGGTGCCTTTGTTCTTTCTACTCCCATATACAATAATGAAAAAAAATCTGTGAAAGGATTTCTTATTTGTTATGTATTTCAGAGCAGTCTGTATTCTGTAGGGGATTACTGCTTCTTCTCAGTTTCCTTAATGACAGACAACATTTATTGTTGCAAAAATAATTTCTAGAGTTTTAAATCAAATTTCTGAGCTACTTTCTCCTCAGACCCCAAATCATTCTGACTAGGGAGTCAGCATCTTTGCTTGTGGTTATTTCCCACCACTGCTGCCTCTGAAGGAACAAATGGTAACTCCAGAACCCGAGGAATCCAACAGAGTCCCCAGCAGATCTCAGCAGGAAGGGTATCCGTTACCTGAACAGAAGCTTGTGTGTGTGTGTGTGTGTGTGAGTGTGTGTGTGAGTGTGTGTGTGTGTGTGTGTGTGTGTGTTATGTGCTATGTGAAGAACAAACTGTGATAGCTGCAACTATGTGGACAGGATTTTCTATGAAAATTTAAAAATGTAACAAAGTCTGACACATTAATCACCTCCACTAGAGTTGTGTAGCTTTCTCTCCTACAGCCAGCGACAGACAAGGGGTACAGTATTGGTCCCATAAGAGCACAACACCTGCTGACGTCAAAGCCAACTTGGTTTGTGTAAACCCACCCTGATGTTCACACAGTGACAAAACACATTAGTCACACATTTCTCAGAACATATCCTTATCACTAAGAGATCAGGGCTGTACATGGTAAGCCAGTCCTAGCAATGCAAAACATGTCTTACATGAATAGCTACATTAAACACTTCTGAGACACACCAAAGGAAAAAAGTGTTGTCAGAGGAAGCAGAGATGTGGAGGAAAGGGCCTGCAGATGTGGGAAGAGTATGTGGAAGCCTTCCTGGCCTCCAGCAGGGATCCCTTGCTTTTCTCACTCCTCCCCCTGGGGCCCCTTGGCAGCTGGGTGTTATTTAAACCAGCCCTGTGCCCATGGTGACCATTCTGTGCTTCTATTCTATGCTAAGTAGTGAGCATGGCTGTTCTTTGGGAGCTCCTGGGACACAGATCATTGGTACCTCTGGGATATTCTTTAGAAAAAAAAGAAAACAGATACCTGGTTTTATGACTCATAGCCAGCAAATAAATCAGGTCATGCTTCTTTATCATAAACGATTTGATAGAAGTAAAACCTATCTATAGGTTTAAAACCTATCTATAGGATTAAAATCCCATTAAGTTTCTTTTTTTAACAGGGTCTCTTTATGTAGTTCAGGCTGGCCGAAGACGTGAGGCAATCCTCCTGCCTCAGTCATCCCAGGGCTGAGATTACAGGCATGCACCACCACACCTGGCTTAAGTGGTTTTTTTTTTTTTTTTTTTTTTTTTTTTTGTTCCC